ACAGTTTTTCTTTACAAAAGTAAACATCAACAAGCAAATCAAAGAAGAGGTGATGGCTTTAAAACAGAGAAAGCTTGTTCCTTGTAAATGTCTTTAAAATGTATATTTTGACTTTTTTAAATAAAATGACAAACAGCCCATAGGCATCACAGCAATAATTTGTAAACGGAAGTGTCCCCATCCCATTTAAAATGTAATTCATTTGGACCCCCACATCTACCATAAAATATTAGTTCACCCAGTGTTGTTCATTACTTAACAAACAATTTCATTCCACTTGATTTATAGAATACTCACACAAAGTGTTTACGTATGTAGGTAAATGTCTGTTTAACCTGTTAAAATACACCAGAATGCAGGAAATGGCATCTACTTCATTCAAATTTCTCTGGGGGAGGACCCAGAAAGACCCTGTACAGTAGATATAGCCCTGTCATTACTGCCTTTTCTTTCTCCTTTTTTATGTCCTCTACAACCAGTCCATCACCAGTGACTTTAAGTGTTAACTATTAATATATAAAGGCCAAACTTACCTGAAGGTAGTGGCATGGCCTCAGGTTGGATTTGAGGTCAGTGGGTGTCATGGGCTTCTCCAGATTGAGTGAAGACTTCCTGTAGGCCTCCTTGGCTTGGCTGACCGTTAGCGTTGACCAAGAGCTCCTTTTCATGAACTTGCCCTCCGGTGCCATGCTAATGTTCTCACAGGCCGAACACTTAACATCGTTGTTACTCTTGGAGGCCTTGAGTGAGAGATTCCCAGCCAGGTGGCTGTGAACTGAGTCAGGATAACAGTGGCTGATGTGGTCCACAGGATGCCGCGACATGATGCTCGGTGTTCTGTACGTGCTGTCACTATCGAGATTGTCATCTGAACTCCACCATCCTCCAGAGCGCTGCTTTCCACTGCTGTCAGATTTGCGGTCTTTGCTCTTGCTGCGTTTGCTGTGTTTGTGGTGGCCTTGATGGTTGTGATGGTGGTGGTGTGAGCTGTCCCTGTGCGAGTCGCCTTTGGTACCGTTCATCTTGGAAGATCCTTCTAGGGAGTGTGACTTTGTAAAAAGTTTTTGCACGGAGTGAACTAAGTGACGGATTCGCCCGGGGCTTTCGTTGCGCTGCTCTGTCGTGGTCGTTGTAGTGGAGGTGCGTTGGTACTGCAATGTGTGGAAGCCATCCCGGTGCAGCGGCATCTGCTTTTCAAACTGATCCAAGAGATTTGCTGGGATTCGGTTCATTTTGCCACTGCCACCGTGTGAGGAGGAGCCCCCGTCGTCCCGGGAATCTCTACCACCAGAAGTGTTTCCACCGCTGTCTCTTGAAGAGCTGCCATAATGCATGCGAGGGAAAGTGCTACTAGATATGGAGTGATCGGTGGCTGACAGGGACACCGGCATCATCATGCACTCGGAGTGGATGGAGCTCCGCGGGGAACAGCGGTGGTGACTCTCAAGGACACAGCTCTCGGTGGGACTGAGGAGGTAGGAGGGCGACCGTGGGTCAACATGGTGGAGATGGTGGTCCAGAGAACGGTCACACTCAGCCAGGCCACAGGCATGAGGTGAGGAGGGCGATGTGAGCTGGAGATGGGCAGGACGACCACCAGAGAGACCCTTCATGTTCCTGGGCGGAGGGGAGCAACTGTCCTCATCGAAGTACCGCGAGGGCGTCCATGAATACTGCTGGTCTGTGAAAGAAAAACACACACACATAGAGGAAATTACAAAATGCATTTTCCAAGAAAGGATCATTTCACACCCAATGATGACCAAAAATAAAATAAAATAAAAAAATCTCCCATACCACCTCACATCTTTTTGGTCATTATCCTCCACTCTCACTCACTTCAACTGCACAATACAAACATAAAAGCCCCAAAACTGTTGACATGAAATCCACAGATTGCAGGGTCAAAATTCTAAGCACTCCTATTTTTTGCTTCTTCAAATCATGTCTGGAGTGGCGTAATTCTGCCGGGAGAGGGAGGGGAACATACGAACAGTGGTGGACAGTAACAAAGTACTTTTACTTTATTACTGTAATTAAGTACATTTTTTGAGTATCTGTACTTTACTTGAGTAGTTATTTATTTGGGAACTTTTTACTTTTACTCCACTACATTTCAAAGACAAATATTGTACTTTTTACTCCACTACATTTCTAGGAAGCTTGTAG